AAGTTATATCGCGATACATATCGTTATCGTTCTATCGCCCAGCTCTACTTCCATCCAGAAAGTGCTTTAGCAATAATATAGATATATTACAGAATATAGATCTATTATAGGTATGTTACAATGTTTTATCATGCAAAACAAAATCTTATTTACTTGTGTTTATTTTTTTTAATATGTGTATATTACTGATTTAGTGACTTTTATGTGTAGCACATATTATGTGTAACTTGTGCAACACTTTGGTCAACTGATGTTGTTTAAAACGTGCCGTAAAAATACACTTTGCTTTGACATGACTGAGGCTTCAGGGGCGGAAACTTCCCGGTCATGGTTTGGGTCAAAATATAACTTTTTTAGAATATTGAACACGTGTTAGAGAGATCAGTTTTTCAGGTTTCCCGGTTGCCTAGCGCCACTTCATATGCAGGTAATGACTTAAGGGATAATACCACGTGCAGGTCGATGGTATTTTTAAAACTTCACTTTATCTCGCTAAAGCCTGATTGGACAACCTGTCTGGTCTTTTGGTGGGAACAAAGAGAAGGAGCCCAATCATGGCTGTTTTCTCACTTCCACATGTGTGGCCAATCCCTGAGCTAAGTGGGAAGTTATAACAGTTATCCACCTAGAAGGTTGGTACTAGATTATCTGACAAGCACTTTGCTTTTCACTTTGTAACAGTAACACGACTTCAGTTTTTCCACTTTTTCCACAAAGCATCTGCAATCTTCCACTTCAGTTATTGGATGAGAAGCACCTATGAGCACAGCGCTCACATATACAGGACAGTAATGTAATGACAGTAACATATTTTGTGATTATTCTGAACCAGCAACGAGTGCCAGACAAACAAACACAAACCTCGTGTCGCTCTATTCAACTTCTCCACTAAACGTAGACAATCTGTTTTCCTTTGCCTTACATCCAGTTTTGACCACACTCAGCAGTGCATTTCACCTATTTGCTCTTTTTTTCTCTTTCCTGCAGCATATGTTGCAAACGTTTGAGAGAACATCTCGGGCGACACAGAAGAATCTCTCTGAAGACTGAAACCACGACATTAAGTCCTTCACTAAGAGTCAATTCTTGTATCAGGCCTTGCTGTGAAGTACAGTCTGTTGTATACATTACACACACACACACTCACACACACACAGGCTTCACTGTCTCCCTCCTGCTATCATCATCATGTGTGTGTAAATGATCCTGTCTTTGTGAGGTTAATTGAAGGCAGAATCTCTGACTGTCTGAGACATAATCTGTCTGTGTGAAAAGTAAGTGTGCCTGTATTGTGTGTGTGTGTGTGTGTGTGTGTGTGTGTGTGTGTGTGTGTGTGTGTGTTTGTGTTTGTGTGTGTGTTTAAGGATTGGGTGTTTGAGGGGAGGGAT